TTTATTGACTTAAATCTCTGTTTTCCCTAATCTGCTGTGTACTCCTTCCAATGCGTTTTTTATTAGTGCTATGTCACTTTCCATGATTACTTTATCATTTTGAGCATCCCTGCCATCATTATTCTGAGCTCTATGTTTGATAAATGTCTTATCTCCATGTCATTTAGTTCTTCTTCTGGAGAATTATCTTGTTCTTTCATTTGGGGATTGTTTTTGGTATCCCCATTTTGGCTGCCTGTTTATGTTTGTGACTACGCATTAGGTAGATCTACTATGCCTCCCAATTTCTAGTGTAGGACAGTGTCAGATGCTGTTTCTGACTGGCCCTGCATACCCTGTTTAGAACTATCAGCAATTTAAAGCTTGTGGTTCCCTTTGCTGGGTCTGGTGCCTTTGGATAGAAACTAGATGTGCACCAAGGTCTGCTTTTCCTAGCCCCAGGCTAAGACCCAAAGCCTCCAGAGATCTACTTCTGCCTGCAATATGATTGCATTCAGTCTTGATTAGCCTCAGGCTTTTGACCACAGGGTGAAGTGCGTTTTCAACAGGGTATGGCAATTGCTTCTGCCCACAGGCTGATTTTTATTCTCAGCCTCTTAATGGGTCTCAAAAACTCCAGAGGCTGGGGCAATAGGTTTCCTATTAGGGTGGGGCAATTGCCTGGATAGCAAAGGTCTACTGGAGAAAGATAGCTTGAGGGAATGACTCAGCCCAGGAAACAGGGGTGACTGCCCTCTGAGCTCCAAACCCAGAGCCCCCAACCCTGGATTCTCCTCACACAGCTTCAGTCCACTCTGTTCTCCCTCTGCTGGAGCCCAAGGTGAGTGCTACAAAATTCTGTGCATTGGCCCTTTAAGAGGGTGCCTGCATTTCAAGCAATCTCTCGCTGGCAGACAGCAACCCTGATGTTTTTTTTTACAGCCAAGTGTTAAGTGGGCATCTTTTTCATTTCTGGTGCTCTGGACTGGAGATCCCAGCTTGGGGTTTAGAACCCAGAGTTCTCAGTGGGAACCCCCCCCCAAAGCTAAGATATCTTTCTAGAACTTCAGCTGCTGTCTGTGGGAGCCCTGCCAGCCATTTCACAGCTCCACAATTCCTACCTGTCTCTATGTGGTCTCCACTTTCTGTCCTTGGCTATCAGAGTTCTCTCCAGCTAGTCTTCAGTTGATTATTCAGGATGGTTTTTCTGTAATTTAGTTATAGTTCCAATTTGGTCTTGGGAGTGTGTCAGTGTAGCACCCTCTTACTCCACTGCCATTTTGGAATCTTCAAAATAGTCCATTTTATATAATTTTCTTAAATTCTCTGTGTATGTTTTAGGGGATAGTTTATCTTTCATTCATTTGATGCCAACTTCTGAAATATCCATTATATTTATCACTCCTTGTGATAAGTAACATTTAGAAAAGGAATGAAAGTACCTGGCTTCAAAATTTACAAATGGTTGGGGAAGTCAGAAACCTAAGTTAACAACCATGTAATAATGTTATTACAAGAACCATATGAAATTCTTCAATATAATGCCATTTAAAGCCATCTTTTAGCCCTGGTCAGTGTGACTCAGTTTGTTGCAGCATCATCCCCTACATCAAAAGGTGACAAATTCCATATCTGATTGGGGCATGTTCAGGAGGAAACCAATTGATGTTTCTCTCTAACATTGATGTTTTTCTCTCTCTCCCTTCCTCTCCCTAAAATAATTTTAAAAAATAAAATAAAATAAAACTTTATTTTAAAGCCTGAATTTAAGTATTAAATATTTTTTAAAACCATAGATGTTAAATGCTGCAGTAGGGTACCTCTTTCCATCTTTTACCATATCATACCTCACATATTCCTTTGTTACCTAAAATCTAGGTCCTAGATTATATCCTAATATTTGTTTGCATTGAAGCATACCTTGAACACTATTGTATTTCTTTACCAATTCATTCAATCACCTAAGTATTTATTATTAAATGAATAAAAAAGCACAAACAACTAAAGACAAAATATCTACCCTCCAGTTCTTAATAATAAAGGAAAATAATACAAAGTGGATCACAACTCTCCCTTACCAAATGAGACAAAATATTTCATTTAAATTTCATAACCCTAAAGTTACTTGTTATACCAAATTTACGTGTTAGAAAAATGGAATTTAGAAAAGTTAAGCAACTCAGAACCATAAATTAGTAGGTAAAGAGTTAGGTTTCAACATGCTATACCTCCATTATCAATCTAAGTTAGTTTTCATATGCTAATGATAATAACAGTAACAATTAATATTAGGGAATGCTTAAAATGTATATATGTATAAAATGCATATATATATATATATAAAATATCATTATATATATATAATTTCATATAACCCTCCTACCAACCCTCTGAGATAGCCACTATTATTTTTATATATAAAAAAACATGCTTATGGTCCAATCTAAGAATATGGTAAGACTGAGATCTTAACTACCTACATAATTTTAATTTTTATATCTATTGTATGATAACTACATATATAAAACATATAAGAAATTTATTTTGCATACTAGAATGTTTTTCCTTTCTAGTATATTTTAATAGGCTATAAGACAAAATAGCCTAAGAATCAAGTGATTTACTCCTATATGCAAACAAAAGATAAAAATTTAACATAAATTTTTTTCTATCTTTGCACCAGAAAGTTTATGTAAATGAAACCAAACATAAAAAGTATTACCCTCCAGAATATAGAACTACTTTCTGCAAAAAAGATCGGGATAAATTTTTAAACATCGTCATGATGCAGCTTCATTCAGAAATATTCTGGCATTCTTTCCAGATAGGAAAGAGTTTGTTATTGGAGAGATTGGCTAAAAATTCTTATTTTCAAGAAAATAGAGCACTATATTAAAAGTTCTTCAGTGAATGTGGAGTTGCAGAGCACAATATCTGAAAACCTATGAATTGGGATTACAGAAACATTTTTTTCCTAAGTGACAGGTGCACTCTGTGACTAATCTGAGTCGGGTGGAGAAATAATGAAATATAGTACTCAGACATAAGAAATGTTGTAAATACTGCCATTTGCAACTCCATGGATGGATCTTGAAAATATCATGCTAAGTGAAGTAAAAGTCAGGAAAAGGAAAAAACCATATGATTTCACTCACATGTGGGTTATAAAATGGAAACTCATAGACACAGACAGCAGTATGATGGTTACCCGAGGGAGGGGCGTAGTAAAGGGTAAAGGATGTCAAATATATGATGATCGAAGATTTGATTTTGGGTGGTAGGCACACAATGCAATATACAGTTGCTATATCATAAAATTGTACACTTGAAACCTATATAATTTTATTAACCAATGTCACCCCGATAAATCTGAAAAAAGAAAGTGAGTCAGGAAAAACAAACAACTCTTAAATATGCATGAGTTACTCTTTATCCTCCTTTCAGATAGTGATAAGAATAGCAACTATTTAATTCAGGAAATTTAATGTTTTACAGTAAGAGTGTTTTGTACTTGCATGGGTCCAGAAGTTACTGGGAATTTTATTTTTGTCTAATAGTTCTACTTATTGGCAATCTATAGATTCACAATGAACTTAAGGTGAATGAAAGAAGGAATCAGCCTTAATGATCAAAATCATCCCTAGAATGCATACACATAATAGACTCCCAAGTTACAAAAACAATTTTTTGGAAGAAAACTGTTACTATAGAATATCCTAAATCTGGCCCTGGCCAGTGTGCCTCAGTTGGATGGGCACCATCCCATGCACATGAAGGGTTGTGGGTTCCACTCCTGGTCAGGGCACATGCCCAGGTTTCATTGTGTGCAGGAGGTAACCGATCTATGTTTCTCTCTCACATCACTGTTTCTTTTTCTCTTTCTTTTCCTCTCTAATAGCAATAAAAATATTTCTTTTTTTAAAAAGAATATCCTAAAACTGCTCTGGTTGTTAAAAAATCCATAAAAATATTTTATAGATAAATAATATTTCCATTGCTCATTTATCCTCTAAGTACAACTGATAAAGTATAGTATAATTCTCTATAAAATATATACAGGGTGGGGCAAAAGTAGGTTTATAGTTGTGAGTATGCAAAACACAAAATTTATTCTTGCATCATTATTTATTAATTACTGTATTATTTTCATTCTGTATATATAAGTAGCACAGTTCCTGGCATATATGATGTACATGACATCTAGGAAAAATTATACAGTGATCAAGAATATAGGATCTGGCCCTGGCTGGTTTGGCTCAGTGAATAGAACGTTGTCCTGTGGACTGAAGGGTTCCTGGTTTGATTCCGGTCAAGGGCACATGCCTGGGTTGTGGGCTCTATCCCCAGTAGGGGGTGTGCAGGAGGCGGCTGATCAAAGATTCTCTCTCATCATTGGTTTCTATCTCTCTCTCCCTCTCCCTTCCTCTCTGAAATCGATATATATATATTTCTGGAGCCAGATTGCCACAATTCAATTCCTACTTCCAACACAAAAATTATAAGCCCTTAAACAAGTTACTTAACCTGTGTATATACCTCAGTTTTCTCATTATAAAACTTAGTTGATAATGTTATCTACTGAAAATTTTATGAAGTTTAAATGAGTTAGTATATGTAAAATACTTAAAATAGTCCTTAGTTATATAATATATTATTATTTTTAAATCAAAAATTTAAAATCGAGCACAGATAAAATTAGTCAATAAAAATGCTGAAGCACTATAACCATTTTTCAATGCTTTACCAAGTTAGCAGACTAAAATAAAACAAGAACACCCAATTATAGCAAGCTATTAAATATTAGCAACCAAGCCCCTTTATGGAGGTCAATTATTAGCTGGTTTTGCTTTAAAAAATAGTTCAGATATACACAAATCTAGCAATTATCTGAATCATTGTTTTAGCTTTATAAATCCATTATCTATTTATCAAGACTATATTATCACTTTTTTACAAATAACTGTATTTCATGACAATGTCATTTTTGTTATTACATTTCACACACACTCAATTGCACTCACATTTACTGCAGACAAGTCAATTGTATCCAATTCACAAAGAGTGCACCCACTGTCCTGTGTCCATGCATTAGGTACATAGTTTCCGAAATAGTTCAGGAGAATCTAGTAAATAAAGGAGAACTGTTTCAACAAAAGTAATCCTCTACTCTCAATGTACTTTTGTTCCATGTAATTGGTACATATAACTGGGTACATTTCTTTAATAATTCTACTAATATTTATCACTTAGAGGTACATACTGAACAATGTTATCTCCAGATAATGAACCATAAAGTAGGTCAAACTTTCTCTAGAAATGCCAAAAATGCATTATAAATCATATATGTATATATATATATATATATATATATATATGTCTAATATGTTAATTATCTCTCCAACCATTCTACCTTTTGACCAGTTGCTATGATGTACACTGACCACCAGGGAGCAGGCGCTCCAACCGGTAGGTTAGCTTGCTGCTGGGGTCCGGCTGATTGGGATTGAGAGAGACGGGCTGGACATACCCTGGAGCCCTCCTGCGGTCCCTCCCAGCCCCAACCGTGAACCAAAGGGGTCCCTCGGCCTGGCCTGCACCCTCTCGCAATCCAGGACCCCTCAGGGGATGTCGGAGAGCTGGTTTCAGCCCAATACCCACAGGCCAGGCCAAGGGACCCCAACTGTACATGGGCCTTCAGTTTCATTATGTAAGGAATGATATCAGAAGAGACACAATTAAAGAAAAATGTCAAACAATGAAACATACATTTTTAATTAGGTTAATGAGACTTATTAGAAAAACACTACAAGTAAAAGCAGTCATGTGAAGAGTAAATTAGTAATAAGATAAATGTTTAAAAGATCAGCATAGATAATTACAGTGAATGGGGCAGTGGCAGTGTGATCTCTTACTAATCATCACCACACAAAACAAATACTATATAAACTTGATTACCAAAAGGCACTAAACTATGCTACTTACTGTCAAGTAGGCTTCTGGGGCACTGATTTCAGGGAAAAAAAAGCTTGCTTATTAAAACAAGCTCCTAATTACAGCCCCCCACAAATCCTATCAACAATAAACTAAAGTACAATACTACTTCCCACCCACCCACTTCAGATCTAAAAGAGCATCTCCTTTGTGACTCCTTTTCCTCTCCTTAAACACCTGTTGGCATTCCTTTTTTCTGTAAAATCTGGGTCCTTGTGTGTGTTCTGGATGAGGAAGAGGGTGAGAGAATACGGATGGAGAAAAGAGATAAACACTGTAAGATATATTCTCAGCACTCAAACAAATCTTCAATATACCTAGATTTAAACATCTTAGGGAAAATTCTGCCAATTTAATTTAAAAAATTACTACACTTTCCCTAACCAGTTTGGCTCAGTGGATAGAGCGTCAGCCTGTGGACTGAAGGGTCCCAGGTTCGATTCCAGACAAGGGCACGTACCTTAGTTGCGGGATCATCCCCAGTAGGGAGTGAGCAGGAGGCAGCTGATCAATGTGTCTCTCTCATCGATGTTTCTAGCTCTCTATCCCTCACCCTCCTCTCTGTGAAAAATCAATAAAATATATTTTTAAAAAATTACTACACTTGCCCAAGCCAATTTGGCTCAGTGAATAGAGCATCAGTCTGTGGACTGAATGGTCCTGGGTTTTATTCTGGTCAAGGGCACATACCACAGTTGCAGGCTCCATCCTGGCCCTGGTCAGAAGGCAACCAACCAAGGTGTGTCTCTCACATCTACGTTTGTCTCTGTCTCTGTCTCTCCCTTTCACTTTCTTTAAAAACCAATGGAAAAATATCATTGGGTGAGGATCAACAACAGAAAATTACTACAGTTTCTGCTGCACTTTTTAAAAAAAAATTTAAATTGATTTCAGAGAGGAAGGGAGAGGGGGAGATAGATAGAAACATCAGCACACCCCCCACTAGAGATCGAGCCCACAACCCAGGCATATGCCCTGACTGGGAATTAAATCATGACCTCCTGGTTCATAGGTAGATGCTCAACAACTGAGTCATGCTAGCCAGGCTCCACTGCATTATTAATACCTGTAGTGGTATGAACATCTGCAGATCTTTATTTTTTATTACTTATTATGTCTTTTCACAAACTAATTATTTTACTTCAAGACAGTGAAGCTGTAGCAAACTAACTTTGGCTATGACTTTCTTACTTTTAACAGGAAGCAACTGAAATCCTTATTATGCTTATATCCTTGACTCTTCATTGGAAAGGTGAGATGGACTCAAAAGAAAAAGATGTCTATCCATTAAATATGATGGTAGAAAACATACAGAAGTGCCAAGTAAATTTTTCTAGCTCCCTAAGACTCTAAAAAAGATCTTAAGGTATAGGACAATTGAGGTAATCAGTCCAGTACAATTCTACAAAAATCCTCCAAAATATCTGAGATTTCATCCAAATATTTCTATTGTACTAAAACTTAAAAATGCTGTTAAAACAAGTACAATATCAATTACAATGGGAAAATCTGTGTTAGATATTGTAGACTGAGTTACATTCAATCTGTAGAGCATACAGAAGACATGAACAGCAACTAACTCACTCACATTTCTTACAAACTACATGATAATTCAGGAAAAAAATTCCAAGGCAGGAAATATGTAGTTATGGCATTAGTTAATGTCACTTCAAGAGTCAATATGGTCACTCTGATGTGCCTCTATAACAAAAAAATTTTGAAGTTGTAAACTTACAGATGCAAACGTTAATCATTCATGTTCTATACAAAATTGTTTTTGAAGGAAAAAATAAAGCAATTCATGTGAAAATAAATCTTTTATTTAGTACTAGAGGCCCAGTGCACGAAATTCGTGCATGGGAGGGGGAAGTCCCCTCAGCCCACCCTGCACCCTCTCCAATCCGAGACCCCTTGGGAGATGTCCGACTGCCGATTTAGGCCCGATCCCTGGGATCGGGTCTAAACCAGCAGTCAGACATCCCTCTCACAATCCTGGACCCCTGGCTCATAATTGCTCACCTGCCTGCCTGCCTGGTCACCCCTAACTGCACCCTCCTGCCAGCCTGATCACCCTTAACTTCCCCCTTGGCAGCCTGTTACCCCCAAAGGCCCCCCTATGGCAGCCTGGTAACTCCTAACTGCTCCCCCCCACCCCCGCTGACCTGATTGCCCCTCACTGCCTCTGTGTGCCAGTCTGATCACCCCTTATTTCCTCCCCCTGCCAGACTGGTCACCCCCAAGTGCCCCCCCTGCCATCCTGGT